AGCAACAGATTCAATCAAAACAAACAAACAACCCTCCAAAATGATGGGAAGTAGGGAGAACCTGGAGTCACTGCTTGATGGGTAAGGGGTCTCTGAGGTGATAAGAATTTTATAAATAGTAGTGATGATTGCACAGTATTTTGGGTGCAGTTAACGCCACTGAACCGTCCTTAGGATGACAAAAACAAGCCTTGCGCCTTCACTCTCACCTTCCCACACATCCTAGCTCCACCCGCCCGCCCGAACTACTCCCCCACCCCCGCCCCCGCCCCCGCCCCGCCCTCCTTGCGCCCTGGCGACCTCCACTTTTCGGATTATGTGTGTTTCTGCACCTCTATCAATTCCTCTAGCTTCCCTGCGGCATCTGTCTACAAAGAGCCTGGTCTCTGTCAACCGTCACCGCAAGGACCTGTCGCTGTCATAGTCCCAGGTTCACAGGATACATAGCAGCGTGCCCTTAGTGCTCTCAGGCCTGCATCCTGCACCTTGTAATTTGCCGCGTCCTGCAGCACACCGTGTGCACTGCAGATCCTGGCACTTTGAGTGCACACTTCTGCACTCTGAGAGTTCTCTCAACCCTGCCCACACCCTGACGCTCTACTGGGGATCTCCAAGGTGAAGCGCTGACTCAGTTCCCGCCAGGAGGCCACGCTCAGATAACAGTCCGACAGCTCCACCTGCAGGTCACAAAGGAGAATGCTTAGGTCGCAGGCAGGAGTCCTCCTAAATTCTTGGCGGCTGTGGATTTCTTCTCTCTCTCTTAGATAGTACCTTAATTGATTCTGTTCTCAAAACTGATTCTCAGCACCTCCCGACTCTGCCTCGGCTCATGCCTCAGCTAACACGTAGGCAGAATGAGCTTGTAAAAGTGGTTGTCCCGCCACACACCTTTTCTCCTCAAGCCCCCACTCCCCCTCCAAGAGCGATGGCATGCAAACCCTCAGGTCCTGCGACTCTCCGCTCTCCCTTCACTGCTCCTCCTGTTTTGTTTTGCTTACAGGCACAGTCCCTGGTAGGTAGAAGTAGACAGGTTGTGCACAGGTGAGCCCGTGGTTCCAACAGTCAAGGGATAGGTTTGCCCTTGGGACATTTAATTTCGGTTGTTGTTTAATAGAAGAGTTTATTTGGGCTTCCAGCTGGGAAGCAGTGGCAAGACTGGCTGGAATGGTGGCAGGACCAAGACGCTGAGCGCTTACATCTTGAACAGCAAGCACGGAGCTGAAAGTGATATTTTAAATTAAAACTATTTTTTAAAAGATTTATTTATGAGTATGATTGTTTGGTCTATATGTACATATGTGTATCACATGTGTGCCGGATGCCCATCAGAGGTCAGCAAAGGGCAGATCTCCTGGAACTGGAGTGACAGAAGGTTGTGAGCCACCATGAGGGTGCTGGGAACGCAACCCAGGTCCTCTGTAAGAGCAACAAGTGCTCTTACCCATGTAGCCATCTCCAGCCCAAAATGCAGACATTTAAAATCTTACAAGCAGTGGCTGTATCAGCTTTAAGTAAGACATATGAAATAGGAAATTGAGTTTTAAGCATTTTAAGAAATTAATATGAAAAATTAACATGAACCCCCCACACACACACATACTTGTTGGTCTGTTCTGTCCATGTAAAGCCTGCCTCAATCATCCATATCCTCTGCCTGTTTGTCTTAGAATCCACTTCTATACTCCCAGTGACGGAAAATCTCTTGGAATTTTCTTAGAATTGCACTCACTAAAACCATGGAATAATTTGGAGAAACTGGCATTGGGAAATCACACTTTTTAAAGTTCATGAATGCAAATATTTATGGTTTCATTAACTTTTCTCCAGAATATATTTACAGTCGTCACATCTTACTTCTGATATTTCTGATGTTTGTAAGCTGTCAATGTTTACTGTTTAGATATTTATCTTATCCAAAAATACTCTCAAGGACAAGGACTTAGAATAACAATGTTTGAATGAATGTCTGACACATAAAATGAATCATCACACCACATTTTTTTTTCTTGCTTGCTTTTTGCATTGCTGGGCATTCAGGATGGGACTCTGCACACAATGGGGTCAGGTGTTAGTAATGGGAACGGTGTCGGCTGCAGGAAAAACCCCACCCTAACTCACAGCTTATCTGTATACCTAAAATCTTCTTTAAAAAAACAAAACAACAACAGCAACAAAATAGGCCAGGTGGTGTGGTAGACACCTTTAATCCCAGCACTCAGGAGGCAGAGGTAGGTGGATCTCTGAGTTTGAGGACAGCCTACAGAGTGAGTTCCAGGACAGCTAGGGCTACAGAGAAACCCTTTCTCAGAAAACAAAGCAAAACAAAACCCAAAAACTTTTTAAGAACCCAGAGAGATCTGAAGCATGAGGGATTCACTCGTTTGTCTTGAACTAGCAGCACATGGAGCCACACATGGACGGGCTCTGCCAGGAGGCTCTAGACAGCCTTAGCAGTGAGGGTGGTCTGTCAACAGCCTGCTAGAAAATGGGGCTCAGACTAGTCCTTCAATAGGGAGGGCTCTGCCAGGAAGCAGAGCTGGGAAGAGGACCTCAGGCTTAAAAGAACATGGTTTGGCTGATACCCAGGGAGGGGGGCTGGAGAGATGGCTCAGAGGTTAAGAGCACTGGCTCTTCTTCCAGAGGTTCTGAGTTCAATTCCCAGCAACCACATGGTGGCTCACAACCATCTGTAATGAGATCTGATGCCCTCTTCTGGCCATGCAGACACAGCACTGTATACATAATAAATAAATAAATCTTAAAAAAAAAAAAAAAAAAAAAAAAGACCCAGGGAGGGACCCAGTTTACCTGAACATGGCTCTGACCCACAGAAGCCTAGATTTTGATAAGCACGCTGTTTCCAGTTGCTAAGTTGGTGGCCACTTGTTACACGGGGACTGATACTCCCTGGTACGACAGGTGCACAGGATCTTTGAAGACGAAATGCCCCATGGCTGTGGTACATGGTGATCGGGTTACATTTGACACCATTTAACATGTCAGACAGAAATGGAGGATCAATGACTTCACTGCAGAGTGAAAGGACAGAAAAGCTACTCTTTTTTATGACTCAGTTTCCCCAACTGCGTCAGTTCAGTTGGAAGTCTGCAGGGCCATGGGACCAGCAGAAGGAAAAGCAGGAGGAAGGGAGGAAAAAAGGAGAGGCAGGTGAATTTCAGGAATTGGATTCCTTGATTGTGGGGCTTGGAGTGCCCAGAGCTTGATGGGGAAGCTGGCAGGTACAGATCCAGGGCAGAGCCAACTTTGCACCCGCACCCAAAGCTGTGGGGAGGCAGAACTCTCTCTTGCTCAAGGAAAGTCAGACTTTGATCAATGCCTTCAAGGGACCACGAGGCCCATTCACATTATTTATGTAAGGTCATTTGCTTCACCAAAGTCCACCAACTTGACTGCTATTGTCACCACAAAAAATTCTCGAAGAGATATCTAGAAAAATGTTGACCAAATAGCTAGGTTTCAGAGTCCAGTCAGAGTGACACATAAAGTTAACCACTATGTTAATAAAACTGTGGGGGTTTTGAAACTGTGGCTAGGTCCATAGGGCACATTCCTGTGAAGAGAACTTGAGTTAGCTTGCCTTCCATGGAGGGAAACCATAGTATGGATGTACAAAGGTTAGAAGTGCTGGGCTGAAAATCACACTGACAGGCCAGTGATCGATTGTGAATAAATTTCCCAAGGACAGACGGCAGAGGTAGTTTATTAAATGCAGTAGAGGAAAACTAGAGTCTAAGAGCTGCTTAATTTTCTTATCTATCTGTCTGTCTGTCTATCCATCCACTCACCCATCCATCTATTGAGACAGGGTTTCTCTGTGTGGCCTGGCTGTCCTGCAACTCACTGCAGATCAGGTTGGTCTCAAACCCAGAGATCCACTTGTCTCGCCTCCCGAGTGCTGGGATTAAAGGCATGCACCACCACTGCCTGGTTTTTTGTTTTTTTTTTTTCCGAGACAGGGTTTCTCTGTGTAGCTTTGCGCCTTTCCTGGATCTCGCTCTGTAGACCAGGCTGGCCTCGAACTCACAGAGATCCACCTGCCTCTGCCTCCCGTGTGCTGGGATTAAAGGCGTGCGCCACCACCGCCCGGCTATGTGGCTTTTTTTTTTTTTTTTTTTTAACTTTTTAGTGTTTGATTTTAATTTTTAAAAATTATTTACTGGGGGGCGTGCACAAATCCTAGCCTGCCTGTGGAGGTCAGAGAGCAGTTGTGGGAGTCTGTGTCCTTCTTCTACCACATGGTTGTAGGGACTGAACTCATGTCACTAGACTGATCCATCTTGCTGGCTACTGTTTTGCTGTTTTTGAAACAGGATCTTATGCATCCCCCTAGGCTGGCCTTGTGCTCTCTATGTGACTGAGGATGGCCTTGAACCTACGATCCTCCCGATATCTCCCCAGTACTGGGATAACTATATATCACCATGCCAGGTTTATGTCGTGCTGGGGATGCAACTCAGGGCTTCCAACATGAAAGTGCTCAACCGATTGTTGCTGCACCCCCACCCCGGAAAGGCTCATTTTGGGGGGGGGGGTCCTGTAGGAGCTTTCAGCCTGTGTTTCAATGTCACGGTGCCTTGGCTGTTCAGGTTGTATCAGGTAGGGCTCGTATCTGGATGGCTGGGTGGACATCTTCACTGAATGTATTAGTTCCTTTTCTTGGTGATTTGACAAAATACTTACCAAAACAACTTTAGGAAGAAGTGCTTATGTTGGCTCCCAGTTTGACGGTACAGTCCATCATGGTGGAGAGGCATGGCAACAAGAAAACGAGGCGGCTCGTTACATTTACATTACTAGGAAGCAGAGATAAAACCGCTGATACTCAGCTGGCTTCCTCCTCCTTCAGTCAGGGGCTCCAGCACACTGGATGGTGCTGCCCATATTCAAGGCAGGTCTTCTTCTTCACTTAAACCTTTTTAGAAACATCCATGTCTTAGTTAGGGTTTCTATTGCTGTGAAGAGACACCGTGACCACAGCAATTCTTATAAAGGAAAACATTTAATTGGGGTGGTTCGCTTACAGTTCAAAGGTTCAGTCCATTATCATCATGGTGGGTGGGACATGGCAGCATGCAGGCAGACATGGTGCTGGAGAAGGAGCAGAGTCCTAAATCTTTCAGGCAACAGGAAGCGGTTTGAGTGTCACACTGAGCGTGGCTTGAGCATATATGAGACCTCAAATCCCACCTCCACAGTGACACACTTCCTCCGACAAGGCTACACTCACCGCAACAAGGCCACACCTCCTGATAGTGCCACTCCCCTTGGTGGGTATTTTCTTTCAAACTACCGCAATCCACATAGACAAATCCAGAGTATGTTTCTATGGTGATTTTAAATCCAATCAGTAAGACTAACCTTCCCATCGAGGAATACATTTTTACACAGTGGACTTTCATGCTGAGGCTTGCTGCCCATGCAAGGCAGCACAGGTTACTAGGAGCCAGACATGTGAAGGTCTGAGCCTGTTCATGAAAGAGTAGAAACAGTGGCCTCAATGCCCTAAGAGAGACTGCAGCCAGGCCTTGGTAAGAGTGATTCTCTGTGGTCTTGTAGCAGGGACCCTGCTCTGAGCTCAACCTTCTTTGAGGCCAAAATGGCTTCCCTCATTCTGAGGTTAGCTCAGCAGTCATCCCTTCTAGAGCAGCATCCAACACACACACACACACACACACACACACACACACACACACACACACCCCACCACGACCACCACAACCACCACCACCAAAAGCTACACCCTCTGTAAGAGCGCTCCCCTTAGTTTTCTGTAATTCTAGCAAATACTTCAAGTATTCAGTGGGAGCATGACTTTTCAGATAAAGGGAAAGAGTCTCACCTGGGCAAGCCTTGAATATTTCTGAAAGTGGCTGATGTGAATAAGTGTGAAGCGCTCAGTTTTTATTTGGTTTAATTATGTACTTTAATGTATGCATGTGTGACTTTTTGCTGCACACGAGTGGGCACCCATAGTGTGGGTCGTTGTGCATTCACAGAGGCCAGAAGAGGGCTTCAGCCCCCCTTCACCTGGAGTTACAGGCCACTGTGGAATCCCAGGCTTGTTACCTGGGATCTGAACTCCAATACTTGTGCTTGCACAGCAGGTGTTTCTAACCACGGGGCCATCTCTCCAGCCCAATCACCACAGTTTCTTCTGTGACATGAAAATGGTAATGTAAAATGGCAACAAACCTTCAGGCCTATAATAAATCAATCTGCTCTAAACGCCTCCAGGAGAACCTGCTGTGCCAGAGGCTGGTCTGTCCCAGAGTGTGAGATTTCCCTCTAGCTGGCTTCCAGGGGCTGCTGGTGCAGACACCACACTCTGGGAACCTGTTTCTGAGATGTAAACAGAAGCCCAGTGTAAGTACAAGGTTAGGGTCCTAGTAATGACCTCTAGGCATTACCTCTAGGTAGGTAAAGCATCCCTTTAGAGTCTCAAGGAACACTACCCCGCCCCATTCTCCGCTCACTAAGCTCCCCAGCAGGACCTGCACTTCTAAGTCCAGGCACAGGGTGGCGCCCTATGTCCACACTTATCCACTCAGATCGCCAGAGGTCCTGCAGAGAGAGGTGACCTTCAGTTTCACAGGATGTTCAGGCTGTAGGTCCTCTCACACTTCTGAGCATAAGGACAGGGACAGGGCCGTGCCACATGCATAAGTTGTGTGTTTGAATGCTGACTTGAGCAGAAGGGCAGCTTGTCCACCAGTCACCCGAGAGACACTCATGTTCAGCTTGTCCACCAGACACCCGAGAGAGACACTCATGTTCAGTCTGTCCACCAGTCACCCGAGAGACACTCATGTTCAGTCTGTCCACCAGTCACCCAGAGAGACACTCATGTTCAGTCTGTCCACCAGACACCCGAGAGAGACATACATGTTCAGTCTGTCCACCAGTCACCCAGAGAGACACTCATGTTCAGTCTGTCCACCAGTCACCCACGAGAGACACACATGTTCAGGCCAAGCCAGGGTAGGCTGGCCTGTACTGAGACTTCTCAATGGCTCTGTGTTCTTGGCAGCTCCTCGGGGCCCTGACCTCTATCCTATACTGCACTTGGCAATGTTGTTTCCTTGAAGTAAAAGGCAGACCAAGGAGGGGCAACCACTGCCCTGCTGGAGTAGCAGGATAGAGACCATTTCAGGGGAGGAATCAAGAGGGTTGGCTTGTGCCTGAAAAGTTCTGGAAGGTCAGAAAGTCTGGGGGAGTATGGGAAGGGAGTGGAGGGGTATAGCTGGTGTGGCCACCTGGGCTCTAGAGGGCCTGTGAACTCTCTGGACTATAATTCCTTGCATTGCCCACCCATTCCAACAAGCCCTCACTGAGGCCTCACCCACCATGGCTAGGCTAAGAGATGCTGGGAAGCTTGAAGCTATGGAGGATGGTAGGTCTTTCTACCCCATATCCTGTTTGAGGTGCTTTTGTAGTGTTGGGCATCAAGGCCCGGACCTTCCACTTACTACTGTGTTAGTAATGGGAAGAGGGTGGGTCACATGGAAACACTCTGTCCCATCTTTACAACTTTTCTGTAAGCCTAAAACTTCTCCTTAAAAAATAAAGTAGCAGACAGATCGGAAACAGGAGAGATTCACTTGTCTCGACATTGCTAACAGAACTTGGAGTCACTCTGAGAAGGAAGCATGATGCGGGTCTAGGGCAGTCTTGAGAGCTGAGGACAGTCCTGCCAATGGCCAGCAGAAAATGACCCAGGCCCCAAAGAGCAGAGATGGGAACCTATGCCAGAAGCCGGCCTGTGACAGGTTAGGGACAGGTCTTACTTGTAAGAGAAGAAATATCACTGGTAGTGCGAGCCTCTCAACAATTTGTTCAGGTTCACAACCTTATCCATGACTGGACCCCAAGGCTATAATTAAAGGTTTAGGTGGAAGGGATTATTCCAGAGGAGGGAAGCAGCTCCCCCTACAAAGCCTGAGGCTGGAATCTGGAGCTCAGTGATGGTGAAAATAATATTTAGGACACTTCCCTACCAAAGCCCTCCCTCTGACCTCCTTGGACTTGGCTCCTTGCTGAAGACTGGACTGGGGGAGCTTAAGGAGGAGTCCCATGTACACAGCAAATGTAGTTTCCAGGAAAAGAATAAAAATAAAGTTCCTAGTGAAACAGATTCACATTATCGTCATTTCTAAGCAAATAAGGGCACAATTGTTTCCAGCAAGGGTTGTGACCATGGCCAACTCTAGGGGCGCAGACAAAAGCCAAGGATGAGGCTGAATGCTCAGTGATCACGTCTCATCTTGGGCTTGGGCTCATACTAATATTGTCTGAAAGCAACCAAGGAACACACTGGGCTGTGGCCTTTATCAGCTGTGACAATACCCTGGACCTTCTGATAACGTAACATTTTCCCTGCAGGTGACTCAGCTTTGTATCCCCAAATCTCGCTCAGAGCCTGGTGGATCTAGCTATACACCAGAAACACCATCTATCCTTGCATCTCCTTGCCCAACTGATACCCACCTACTCACTCGTCCATCCCCATTGCTGACACTGGCTGAACAAGTCTGCTAAGCTAGAAACTGCTCTAGGTTCTGAAGTTCACAGAGAAAACAGACATGACACTTTCACTTTAGTCCGAGGAACACACAGTGGAGCACGGTACACTTCAGATGTCATCTGAACAAAGCCTCATGACTGAACAGATACGTGAGACTAGAAGGGAAAGTGTCCAGTAAAGGGGACTAGTGTGTGTTGACAATGTTGGGTACATCACTCGGTCTTGGGGGCTGTGGAAGAGGTAGTGCATGGAGCCTGGTGCAGAATGTAGAGCATAGGTCGTAATGATGACTGCTTTCCAAGAATTGTCTGAGATAATGTAGAGAGAGGCCAAAGTAGAGATGGTTTAGGTTAGATCTTGGGAAGATGGGGAGTTTATCTCCCTGAGGTGTGGCACTATGGGTGGGTTGGGAGCGGAACGTGAACCCCCCAGAGGGAAGAGGCTGCTGCTGGGGAAGGAACACTTGAGGGCCAGAGAACTTGGCCCTGAGGTGCAGAGAGCCAGCAGTGGTTAATCCATCCCAGATCACAACCGAGAAGCTGGCAGTGCTAACACAGCCTTGTCCAGGGCCACAGGAGGTCTGAAAAGATCAGATGGAGACCTGAAGAGCTTGGAGCTAACCAGAGGTCAGGAAGAGGCTGAAGGAGATTGGGAGGAAAAGCAGCAACCAAGCAAATCAAGGCTGAGACCGTGCTGGAAACCTGGCCTTTGCATTTGGCAAGTCAGGTGGGGGAGAGGAGGCAGCTGCTGCCTGGGGACAGAACAGACAAGCACATGGGAGGGGGAGGGGGGTCTACACCGGGAAGAGGGCGACAGGGAGCAGGATAACACAGCACTAGTGCACGTCTGGGCAGAAATGAGCAGCATACTATCTGCAGACAGGCCAGGGTGCCGAGAGCTCACCCAGCCTGCTGCCTTGACTGCGGACAGACATGGCTCCTGCCCACAGATGGCACTCAGAAAGCGCCTGCTCTGTTGTACTTCTGCTCCTTTGCAGCACAGCTGTGAGGCCATTCACCACGCAGAGGTATATGGCTCCCCGTAGGAACTCCCCAGCGGTGCCTCAACCTACAATGAATAGACTCAAGACAATAGGGCTATTGGTTCAGTGTACCACGTGGGAATGGGAAGGCCAGTGGTTCACCCAGGAACATGTCACAGAACGTCAATGCAGGTTCTGTATGTTACTGTTTGGCTGATACCCCAAGATTTTTTGTTGTAGCTTTGTTTTGAGACAGGGTTTCTCTTTGTAGCCCTAGTTGTCCTGGAACTCTCTCTGTAGACCAGGCTGGCCTCGAACTCACAGAGATCCACCTGCCTCTGCCTCCCGAGTGCTGGGATTAAAGGCATGCACCACCACACCCAGCTGATACGCCAAGAGTTAAAGTTTACTTTTAAAGTATGCCACATCTCTTGCATTTTAAGCCTGACTTTCCTGGGCCTATCCCAGTAAGGTCTTTTTTCTGCAAAGAAGTGAATCTTGTTCAGAAGGGCCCATGTCATATACCTACATTTTGAGGGGCTCACAGCAGGATCACGGGGCAGACTGGTTCTCTCCCAGCTACCAACAGGCACTCTTTCTGCCAAGTCTTGTGACAGGAGACAGCTGCAGTTCCCCAGCCCAGCTATAAAAAGCCCTAACTGCCCAAGTGAGCAGAGGACGTGTAGCGGGCACCCAGGGTACCTCTTTGGGGCCAAGGAAGGAGCGCAACCTGAGAATCATGCCAAGGCTTCGCCCTGTCCTGCGGCTGCTCCAAGCTCCTGTGAAGTATACAGTGGTTCCCAAAGCCCATATCTCTGCCAAGCCAGCCCAAACCCCCACTTCCGCTATGGTGAGTAACTTCTAAGGTAGCATTTCCTGGGTTTCAGGGCAACAGGGAAGATTAAGTGATAAAGGAGAAGTGAATGCAGTGCTAGGTATCAGTGTTTTATGCCAAGATAGTGTCTGAATGCCAAGAGGGGTTCTGGCACCACCGTTTGGGGCCAGGCTCTCAAAGGGCTACAAACGGTGGGGTGAGGATTTTCCTCAGGCCTCGCCTCGGGCCAAGGTCAACAGTGACAGAACTAGGGGGCACAGAGTCCAAGTGGGGTGCAGGGTTCAAGTCAGGGTGTGTATTCCACTGTTACAGGGAAAGGTGGGTTGCTCTGAGTGTGGAACTAGAACAGCAGCATACCCAGTGGAGTCCACATATGAAGTGTGTTTATCTTAAGTATGACTCAATCTAAGAATCAGGCCATCTGGTCACAGACATACAGCTATGACACAGTACAGACTAAGATTCCTATTCTATGCCAAATTTGCTTAAATTCAGGGCCCAGGCTTGTTTCATGGGGAAACTTGGTACCATGCAGTTGGTGCCTCAGAACCGGCTTTGCTAAGTCCAGTTACTGAGGACAGAGGGCTCCTAATGGGGTCACTACTGCACACACTAGACCCCCATGCAGGGCAGGGTCTGACTTCACCCAGCTTGGCTTCTGAGTGGAACTGCTTCTAGAGAAAGGCTCTGTGCTTGCTCCTAACAATGGAAACCTTAATTGTTCTACTATTCAGCACAGCACCCTGGAACACAGGGCTGTGATCACAGGAGCCGAGTGAACCTTTGCCTTGCTGGCAGCTGCTGTAGCTAGGCAGGATCTTGGGCTCTGAAGCCCAAGGCTGTTTCTCCTGGTTTCTGAGGTCATTCTCCCCGTAAGGACTTGACGCTGCCAAGCTCACTGACACAGCAGGCCTGCTCGCTCACAGGACTTCCGAGAGAAGCAGAAGACAATGGGGACTGGCTGGCCATCCTAGAGAGGGAAAGCAAAGGAGTCATCTGTAGCCGTGGACCGTTTCTAGCTGAAGCAGAAGCCCCACGCTGCAGGAAGTTTCCCTGCCCAGTGGCCAGGCCCAAGCCTTCTAATGGCCATGGATTCATGTTTGCTTGTCTTTCCACAGGAGCAGGCTGTGGGGATCATGACCATATTCGTCGGCTTCATGGTTCCTGCAGGATGGGTCTTATCTCACTTGGAGAGCTATAAAAAAAGCTCCACAGCATAAACTGGCACAGCCCTGAAAGATTAAACTCTTCCATCCACCTAGTCTTGTGTTGACTCTGGTGCTTGCTACTTATAACACGCAGTGTGCAGTGATGCCAGGAGGTAAGCGTGGGTGCCTGCACCTGAGAAAACACTGAAGAGGACTGCAAAGGGAACCAGTGCCTCCTTGTCCGGCAAGTCAGGATGCTCTGCCTGCTGGCAACCCCATGTGTGGTGGGCGGGGAGGAGTGAGGCTAAGCCCCACCAACCTGCTGGCTTCAGCTTAAGTGTTCTTTTCTTCAGGCGCAGGATTGCCCAAGAACAGAAGTGTCAGCAGAACAAAGCAAAGGCATTTATTATAGGAGCAGTCTCAGACCACATTGGAAAAGGTCCACTCAAGTGGACTGGGTGGAGACTACTCTGTCCCTATTCCCATTCTTGCCCTTCCTTATCACCTCATCACCTGGAGTCTCCGCCCACCCCACACAGGAGCCTTCTCCAAGCAGTCAATCCCCATCAATGAAAGATCTCTGCTTTTATAGCAAGAACAGTTCCCACTCCTAGCAAGACCCCAAACTCCATTCCAATTCAATACAGATCTCTGCTGATGGTCTCAGGGGCCACAGAAATGCCTGGTGGGGAGAGGCAGGGTCCGCAGGACACGGGGGCACTAGGTGAGGATGTCTTGAGCCTGGTGTTCCACCAGCATCTCCATGCTCTTCACATCAGTGCACCACAGCTCCAGACGGTCCTTCATCCCCCTGATCTAAAGACAAACCAGGAGCACATGGGTATCAGGCTGCAAGGGAGCCACAGGCCCTATGTGGTAGTGCTAAATCTCTAGTTCTTTCTCGGGAAAATGCTAAGGGCAACAGAGCTGAAGGTGGAGGTGTGTGATAGAATCACCGTGCCAATTCTTATCACAAGGACATTCTAAAAACTCACATGAAAGAAAAAGAATGGAGGAAATCACAGGATTAAATGACTAGAAAATATGATTAAGGAGATGGGATTAAGTCACAAACCAGGAACATGTCTGATCAGAGTACCAATTTTAAGATTAGAGGGCATCACCAGCACTGCCAGCACTGTTGTCCTAGTAAACCTCTAAATGCAGGGTTCAGACCTCGGGTGTGCATTACCGAGGTCTCTACAGCAGTAATCCCATCGGCAATACCTCATGTGGACTAGTGTCTTCTTCCTACATGGCTTCTGTCCACAGGAAACCAGGACAGCACTGGTATAACCCAAGTCCACACAGGTGGGCAGGAGCTCAGTCTTCTTACCTGCTGCAGATCCAGCACTCGAGGCTGCACCCAGGTCATATGAACCCGCTTGTCCACTTCGTCTATGCTGCCTCTCACCAGCCCCACTGAGAGTGCCTTCATCACCAGCAACTCCACCTGAGCAGAGGGGCTTGCATGAGACACGCTGGGAGCGCAGTGCTCAAGGCCAGACATCTGCCAGGGTGGGGAAGCTCTGCTGCGTGACAACTATGTCCAAGAACTATACCTTGTTCACAGTGATTTTGGCACTTTTGGCAATTTCTTCAAAAGTGAGTTGTCTGTGGTTGGCAGGTCGTGTGAAAGTCATCTGAAAAACAAAACCATTTTTCTAAGCAAAAGTGGTCAGAGGATTTTTTTTTTTAAAGAATTTTTTGGTCAAAAGTTGAAAGTTGTTCTGTGGGCATGGTTGCACATGCCTTTAATCCCAGTACTCAGAAGGCAGAGATGGGCAGACCTCTGGGAGTTGAGACCAGTCTGGTCTATATAGCAAATTCCACGTTGGGGTCAGGGTGACACAGTGAGAGCTGTCTTTAAAAAAAAAAAAAAAAAAAAACAAAAAAGCAAAAAACTGCCGGGTGGTGGTGGAGCATGTTTTTAATCCCAGCACTTGGGAGGCGGAGCTAGGCGGTTTCTGTGAGTTCCAGGCCAGCGTGGTCTACAGAGCGAGATCCAGGACAGGCACCAAAACAACACAGAGAAACCCTGTCTTGAAAAAACCAAAACCCAAACCAAAAACCAAAACAAGCAAACAAAAAAGCTCTGAAGATACAGCAGATTATCTTATTAGCCCCATACTTAAGTACTCATGTTTTCCTAACCTCGCGTCCTCTACTAACAAGTTTGAAATGCTCAGGGGGGGTTAAAGGACGAAACAAACTGTGAAGGAGTCTGACAAGAACAAATGCGCATTCCTTGACCAGGCAGTGGAGGCCACCAAGTGCCTTGTACACTTTAGGAAACTGGAAATGCACGCTGCAACTCTTCCAGAAGCTCACGTGCTATCGGAGAAAACAGAAAACTACACGGACAGAGGGAGTGTGTCCCAAGGTTAGCGGCAGGAAGAGACAGTGGCTGCAGGCTCCACGGGCAGGGTGGCTTGTGAAGTGTGTAAGGAGTCTGTCTCACAGGCAGTGGGATGGTTCAGTGGGCACAGGCACTTGTGAAGTGTGTAAGGGAGTCTGTCTCACAGGCAGTGGGATGGTTCAGTGGGCACAGGCACTTGTGAAGTGTGTAAGGGAGTCTGTCTCACAGGCAGTGGGATGGTTCAGTGGGCACAGGCACTTGTGAAGTGTGTAAGGGAGTCTGTCTCACAGGCAGTGGGATGGTTCAGTGGGCACAGGCACTTGTGAAGTGTGTAAGGAGTCTGTCTCACAGGCAGTGAGATGGTTCAGTGGACACAGGCACTTGTGAAGTGTGTAAGGGAGTCTGTCTCACAGGCAGTGGGATGGTTCAGTGGGCACAGGCACTTGTGAAGTGTGTAAGGGAGTCTGTCTCACAGGCAGTGAGATGGTTCAGTGGGCACAGGCACTTGTGAAGTGTGTAAGGGAGTCTGTCTCACAGGCAGTGAGATGGTTCAGTGGACACAGGCACTTGTGAAGTGTGTAAGGGAGTCTGTCTCACAGGCAGTGGGATGGTTCAGTGGGCACAGGCACTTGTGAAGTGTGTAAGGGAGTCTGTCTCACAGGCAGTGAGACGGTTCAGTGGGCACAGGCACTTGTGAAGTGTGTAAGGGAGTCTGTCTCACAGGCAGTGAGATGGTTCAGTGGGCACAGGCACTTGTGAAGTGTGTAAGGAGTCTGTCTCACAGGCAGTGAGATGGTTCAGTGGGCACAGGCACTTGTGAAATGTGTAAGGAGTCTGTCTCACAGGCAGTGGGATGGTTCAGTGGGCACAGGCACTTGTGAAGTGTGTAAGGGAGTCTGTCTCACAGGCAGTGGGATGGTTCAGTGGGCACAGGCACTTGTGAAATGTGTAAGGAGTCTGTCTCACAGGCAGTGAGACGGTTCAGTGGGCACAGGCACTTGTGAAGTGTGTAAGGGAGTCTGTCTCACAGGCAGTGAGATGGTTCAGTGGGCACAGGCACTTGCTGTCAACCTGACAATCCCCAATTCGATCCTCAGAAGGAGCGAAGTGACTCCTGTGAGTTATTCTCTGACAGCCTCCACAAAGAACAAACAAACAACAATCCCGTAAGATCCAAATTCAGACAAAATGAGCAGGGGCCAAGGGAAGACAAGCTAAGAGCGGGAACATGAGGAGGAAAGTACTCAGGAGAGGCAGGCAAGCTTGCAGTATGCACAGCTGGCCCATGAGCACTGTCGAGTGTTAGGACAGGGATTCCTGGGTGCTTCTTACCTCCATAAGGCACAACAACTGGATCTTCCTCAGAAGCTGGGCCTCGTTGGCTGCTAAGTCAGGCTGGGAAGTACAGAAAGACAGAAACACGGGCTCTGAAACTCCACTCTGGGTCAAACCGAAGAAACCAGGCAAGCCCAAGCACTCTACAGTGTGGGGAGCTGAGGCTCACTGACTGCTCCAACTGATACTAAGTCCCTTTTCTCTGAGAACTTGAAGAAGTAACTGACTCACAGGCTGTCTCCTAAGACAGGAGTGTCCGAAACAGGATTTACGCTGCTGTTACAAACACCATGGACGGGAACCTCCAGACTCCTGGTGGAGGCACCACCAGCAAAGATCAAGTCTCGCGTCTCAAAAGGTTCTGAGTGGCACTGCTTGCTGGTTGGCACAATACAAGCCGAGTCTGCTAAAGGTAGGCAAGGCCTAGTGGCTTGTGCTGAGTCAAAAGAGCCAGTGACAACCTCACAACAGAAAATCTTACTGCCGTGAGAACTAAAACACATCCTTTTGCAAGTCTGCAGCTGACATGACATCATACCTATAGTTCCAGCACTTTGGAGCTGAGGCAGGAGGATTACTTGAGCCTAGGAGTTCAAGACAAACCCGAACAACATGGGGAGACAATGTTTCAGAATAAAAACAAAAACAGGTCACTTTCTGCCAAGGAAAGTTTCAGTAGGGACACTTCTGTAGACAGCCCGACTCTTTTCTTCTTATAAATTGCTATAGCAAGCCAGTCTGTCTGTCTGTCTTTCCTTTTTTTGAGTTAGGGGTCTCATTCATTATGTTGCCTAGGCTGGTCTTCAAGTCCTAGTCTCAAGCAATCCTCTGATCTGAGCGGGGACTAGAGGCATGAACCACAGTCCCTGGCTCCTCCTTCCTTTGTGGGGGGAACGTCTTGCTGCCATGTCAACCCACAATCAGACTACAGTGAAGTCTTGCTAGATCTGGTGCTACCTTCTCAAAATCCCTTCACTCACACCCACCCCACTCTATTACATGTACATTTCACAAATTTGTTCTTAAACATTAGGAAAGCCCAACGTTTCAGGAAAGTACAAGAAGAATGTAACTGTAATTCCTACCACACTTAATATTTTAGAAATATTTACTTGTAGTAATTTCATTTTAAAAGAGATGTGACTAGGCTGCGAGAAGGCTCAGAGATTAGAGTGTCTGTCATGTGAACAAGAGGACCAGACTTCAGATCCTCAGAACCCAAGTGAATGCCAGGTGAGCCACCAGGGGGCATGGCTGCTCACCTGTAATCCAACCTGAACAGGCAAAGGCAGGGGCTCTCCGGAACAAACTGGCTAGCAAGACTAGCCAGACAGGCAAGTTCTGGCTCAAGTGACAGACCCTACTGCTGCGGAATATTTGTTTAACTATACAAAGATGTGTTGCATTTGTGTTACTATG